TACGAGAAACCCCTCGAACCCCCACGAGAGACCGCTTGATCCGTCGCGAATGACTGCTGAAATCGAAATGAGAAGCCCCTTACTATCTCCGAGAGAGACCTACTGTACTGGCGTGAGAAACCCTTGTTGTGACTATACGCGCCACCTATCCTAGAATCTCTGAAACTTCTACCCAAATCACCTTGTTACCGGCGTGTGGAGCCACCTATTGCAGTAGCGTTGAAACTTCTAGTCAAATAGTACCAGTTTGATTTCACTAGATGGCGCAGCTAATCAACTACGTCTGTCCTTCTCTGTCCCATGAATCTGTCCTTGTCTCTCCTCAGCACCATCCGTGGTACCACCTGGCGGAGACATACTGGTACTATTTGGCTAGAAGTTTCAGCATTTTCCTGATAGGTGGCGCAGTAGTTTTACCAATTTGTTGGTAATGTAGATCGTAGAATTTCTTATTTATGTTTGTTATTCTCGAATGAAACTCTCAAACATGAAGTTGTTTGATCAATTGGTAAACAGCAACTGAACCTAAATACGTTTCGGATTACTTCTTATGGTGAAATATATTCTCCCCGCCACTTGGTATGCGAGTGAAGTTCGTAACCTCAAAGTCGCGCGTATCTATCGTCGGTAGTGGTCTGAGCAGATTGTTTCTCGTAGCCGGTAAGAAAGGATGATTAGGCTGTGGGTCTATTCTTACAGCTTGTCTGATTTCTATATAACAGGTGATTATGGGAATTTGAAGGCGCCATTTGTTGGACGGTATTATTCAAATAATCGTGGAGTTGTGATTATTAGAGTACACACGTGAAATATCTGTAAATATGGCGGTAAGTATTATTTATTACAAATATTATCTATCTTTAATATCTTAATCTGTAACTGTCTGTAATGTGACGTGGACGGTGCATGCGTTGTTACCACCGGCTAACCTATAAAACTTGAACCTATATTCTTGAATAATAATACATTTAGTAAGTTAATTTCTCAAATCACGTTTTTGTCAAAGAAAATATCCTGATCTAATTGCCGCATAATTTTTTGGTTGAGGCTTTTCGTATTCCTAGTATAAAAGCAAAATGTGTTACTATGGTAACCAATTGTTTAATCTATTGTCTTATGGATACGCTTCTTATGTAGTATATAAATGGATGATACTGTGCCATGTTAATATTGATGTATACTTATTCCAGGCTGTCGCAGCTGCAAAGGTTCAGGAAGTTCGTGAGATCACTAGAATAGAAAGAATTGGAGCTCATTCTCACATCAGAGGTTTAGGCTTAGACGATAGCTTAGAACCACGCCATGTAATTTATTTTCTTCTTATACATTCATAGAGTAATCAAAAAAGTTCATGGTTAATAAAATATGATTGCTTAGGTGTCACAAGGTATGGTTGGCCAGCTGATGGCCCGTCGTGCGGCTGGTGTTGTCTTGGAAATGATCAAAGATGGAAAAATAGCAGGCCGTGCCATATTGTTGGCAGGTCAACCTGGCACTGGTAAAACTGCCATTGCTATGGCAATGGCTCAGGCTTTAGGAATGGACACTCCGTTCACTTCAATGGCAGGTTCTGAAATATACTCTTTGGAAATGAGTAAAACGGAAGCTTTGACTCAGGCTATTAGGAAATCGATCGGTGTCAGGATTAAGGAAGAAACAGAAATTATAGAAGGAGAGGTAGTTGAAATTCAGGTAGACAGGCCTGCCACAGGGGTCGGTGCCAAAGTTGGTAAACTAACACTGAAAACGACAGAGATGGAAACGATCTATGACCTGGGAAATAAAATGATCGACAGTTTAATGAAAGAAAAAGTTAGTAACTTCGTATCACATTTGTTCGTGAGATGTGTAATAAAATTCTGAAATTATTTAATGATTCTAGGTGCAAGCTGGTGACGTGATAACCATCGATAAAGCTACGGGAAAGATCAATAGATTAGGCAGATCGTTTACCAGAGCTCGCGACTACGATGCGACCGGATCGCAGACGCGCTTCGTGCAGTGTCCCGAAGGCGAATTGCAGAAACGTAAAGAAGTAGTACACACTGTCACATTGCACGAAGTTGACGTGATAAACAGCAGGACCCACGGATTCCTGGCATTGTTCTCTGGCGACACCGGCGAAATTAAATCAGAAGTACGAGATCAAATAAATGCGAAAGTTGCAGAGTGGCGCGAGGAAGGAAAGGCGGAAATCGTTCCCGGCGTTTTGTTCATCGACGAGGTTCACATGCTGGACATCGAATGCTTCTCCTTTCTCAATCGGGCACTGGAGAACGAAATGGCACCTGTCGTTATTATGGCTACAAATAGAGGTACACAAAGAACAGCGCCTCTGTTCAAATTCTGTTCTTACCTCTTCCTTGATTTTACCACAGATACCATATAGTTTTAAGGGGAGATAGACATTATATTTAAGTGTTCACAACTGTTTGTTAAAACGAAAGATTAATTTGTACAGGTATTACAAGGATCAGAGGGACAAACTACAAAAGTCCTCATGGTATACCCATCGATTTGCTAGACCGTATGATCATCGTGCCAACGAGTCCATATCAGGAGAAGGAACTGAAAGAAATTTTGAAGATCAGATGCGAGGAGGAAGACTGTGAAATGGCTGAGGATGCTTTGACAGTGTTGACGAGAATCGCGCTTGAAACGTCGCTCAGATATGCGATTCAGCTGATAACTACAGCTTCCCTCGTCAGCCGTCGAAGGAAGAGCACCGAAGTAAATATAAAAAATCTGCAGCACCGTTAACGCGAACATAACCGAAAATCTGTACTTTCAGGTGAATATCGACGACGTGAAGCGCGTTTATTCGCTGTTTCTAGACGAAAATAGGTCTGCACAGTTCTTGAAAGAATATCAGGACGACTTTATGTTTAACGAAATACGTGAGTAGATCGACGAACCTATCAGGAATTTTAATTTTCTACGTTACTGATTCGCACCTTTGTTTCAGCGGAGGAAGCTATGGAGATATCGTAACAATAGATAAATAATTAAAAAATACAGTTCCACGCCGATGCTGCTCAATAAACATTGATAATTTTCGATTCGACGATTTTGCGAAGTGCCTCTCCGATGCACGAGCCAGGTTACTCGGCCAAGCGTCGACCGAGCGGATTCAATTTAGACGCGGTTTCAGAAACGATGCTATATATTTCGAATTAAATACAAAGAAAACTTAACAAAATACCGCCTGTATGCTGACTACAATTTGGTCTCGCAACATTTGATTTTGTTCGACGTTGTTACAGCCGTTAATAAATTTCTAACGATGGAAACAGTTGACTGACGTGTTAATCGGTTAACGGAGGTATATAGATCAGTTTTTGGCGTAAAGTTTCCATAACCGTGCAACACGCGCAGCTCTCCAAGAAAATCCGTTTCAGATTTCCGTTGCATTTCAGGTAACCCTACGACTTACGAAATATTCTCTCTCTCTCTCTTTCTCTCTCTCTCTCGTTCGTTCACACTCTCGCATTCTCTTTCCCGTGCAGCACAGCGTAGCATTAACAAATTAGTCGCCTCGTCGATGATAGATCCACACTCCAACGGTATTCGTCGTTTCATTTGCGACGGAAGTCACTATGCGAAGCAGAGGAAGATAACCATGCGCGCGTCTCGTGGTCGCCGATCCCTTACGTTTTCTTCTCTTGCGCCTTCTTATCTGGAAAATAGAACATGCTCGCGTGTTACAGCGGTTCTACGTCGTACATCAGCGTTCGCGGGATGCTAATGAACCGTTCAACGGTGTTCATCGCTTCCGTGCAGACGCGCCTCCTTTTATTTCGCTTACTCGTGATCAGCTTCACGCCACCTTCCGGCTTGAACGACGATTGAGCCTTCTTGTCCTTCGAAAGAACTCCCAGACCGTACACCACTTTGTAGACGGGAAGGGGAATCACCGTGGAGGAAACTGGCACCATCACTGGAACACGAATCAACGTCGCAGAAACTTATAAAAATATTCGATAAAAAGAAGCGATTACGATAAAGCTACCGAATGAAAATCTTTAGCGACGTAAGTAACCAGACAATGGTACATTAACCCTTTGTGGAAGAACGTCATTTCGACGAGATGAAGTTTTCATATTTGGAAGTCTAAGTCGTAAACAAATGATTTAATTAATGGAATCGCAAGAGCGAATAATCTATAAAACGAAAATTCTCGCGATCGCGCGAAACAAGTAAGGCGTTCCTCGAAATTCGCTCGAGCGAATTCAAGCATCGCAAAACAATGGGCCGAGCACGATGCTTTCGAATACGCGAGCTTGTCCGCGCGCACGTGCGCCGAGCGTTTCGGTGTGCGGCGAACTGCACGCGAACGAAAGTAGATACGATTCGAAGCGAACCGATATCGCGGTCTATCAAACGTTCACCCGCGTCAGAGCTAACGAGGAATATTTGCTTATCGCTCTTAATCGAATATCGATTCATTAAACAGTCGACGTCGGCGTCCGCCGGCTGTTTAATTATTGGCTCTCGACGGGCCGTTGCCAGTCGGGATGGAAATCGGGAGAAAATCGGGTCGCGAAAATCTCCGTTGTTCCGAGCGTCACGCGTCTCTCGATTGAATCCTGCGTCGACGGATAACGATCGTTGATATAATGTCACTTCGCAACCGAATCAGCGATACCGGTGCTCCGCGGAACGATAATTGTTTTCACGAGGATTTCGCGTTCGAACACGTGACCGAAGCGATATTGCGTCCTTCTGTCCCGTCGAATCGGATACCCTGTTCGATGCGAGTGCATCGAAGCTTGTGAAAGCTAGATTACTATTAGATTCTCTACATTTTTATCAGACTTCGCGTCAGTATGCAGAGACTCGTGATTTTAAATGCTTCGGTAGGTTTCGATTGCCAATATACATCATTGTCATTGGTACGATAGTATCGTTGGGACCAGTGTTTAGGTGAAACCTTTTCAGAATACATCAAAATCCTCGCAATCAACTCGGTATTTATTCTATAAGGACAAGGCCGAACATAAAATTGTTTTCAAATGAGACTCCACGCATGTAATAAATGGAGAAAAGGTCACGAGTTTCTCATTTGTAAATACGTATTGTAATGCAGAGGGTTGCGTTGACAAACCGATTGTTACGTCAGGTCCTGCTTGTTAGTCTTCAGCGAGATGGAAACTTCAACGGCAAACGATAGCTACTTTTTTCGCACGAGCGTACTCGTCGACGGGTAACCGCTTAAAAGGTTCCCGATTGTTTTCACGCGGTGTAACGTGCACACGCAATCGGCCAACCGTTGGATTTCAGCCGGCTCGGCACGCGATACACCGGGTTGCGTAACGTTGCGCCCGAAAACGTCAACGGGGAAGCGAGTATGCAAATCGAGAACGAAACGTTCCACGCAAGCAGACCGCGGTCTACCCGAGCGTCGTTCCCGTTAGTGAGCCGAAAGGTCGCCGCGCGTGCACGGTGAACGCGTCCAGACGTTTCCGATCGCGCGGCCATTCCGTCAACTGGAATGTCGCTGAGAACGCTATCCGGTTGGTATTTACTCGAATTAATTATCATACCGGCGGGCGAATCGGACAACCGACGCACCCTGGAATGCGCGTGCACGCCGACGGCTGAAAGGGTCGATTTTCATTGAAATTTTCCTCCGATTCCCACCCGATCCTCCGAGCGATTACCGAGAACGTCCATTTTATTTCTCTTTCGAAATTTCGGTAAACGTTCTTATACCTTCTATGAAGAGATTTAACCCTTTTCACGTTAGTTCATTCAATGACAGCTCAATTTGACGCTCTATTTATTCAAGAATATTTGGGAGTCACAAATGTTACCTTTAAATGGTACAATTGTGATACTACGAATATATAGAAAAAATTGTTAAAAGGTAGAGGTTGCATAAGATAGAATGTCGAGTCCGACATAGGACTGCTAAGGGTTGTCAGTTTCACTGCTGAGATTAAGACTCAACGAGAAACGATGTTACTCGGAAGTCCCAGCGAGATACTCCTAACGAACAGTGTTAAGAAGGATCGTCCGGCGATGGAGAAAATGACATTCGATGATCGTCCATCGATTCCCAGTAATTTACAAGGCGATTTCAAGTTGGCGACTGCCTCTGAATATTCGGAACCGCCCGTTCGAGTTGCCGCCGTCGTTTGAGGCGCGAAGCAGCTTTATCTCCTCTCGCGGAATAGGGTGTGCATAGACGCGGTGATCAACAAAGACTGTTTACGAGAGTATCTCCGCGGGGTAACGAGCGGTATACAACGTCTAATTAACGAGGAGTGGTTTAACGACGACCGGGGCACCCGACGCGACGTTCGAGGCGACTCGATAGCAGAAAATACGCTTGTCGCGGATTGGAAACCATTAAGGCCGTCGGCGTGTATCGACACGCGATCGCCGCTGGTATTTTACAAAGCGGAAAGGGTACTGGCGAGAATCGACAAGCGTATCTACCGATACGAGATCGCGGCGGCGAGCCGCGCGGATAAATCCTTTCGAATCGCATGCTCGCGTGACGACTGCACTTTGTGCAATGCCACTTCGCTGCAACCCGGCCCCTCCCTTGCCGGCGTTCCTGGCGCAACGTCACAGCCAAGGACAGTCCGCGAGGATTCCGGCCGACGTCCTCGTCGCGGATCGTTCGCGCATGGCCGTCGTCCTCTCCTAGCAGCTTTCCTCGCGCGCCCCTTTTCCGACTCCCTCGGGGACTGGCCGAAGTTAACCCTTTGCACTCGGGAGGCGACTCGCGGTCGCCGTTTCGTTCAATGCAGGAAGATTACAAAGTTCGATGTTCAAAGTTTGTTAAGGGGTTACGTGGAATAAAAGATACACGCGTAGAGTATGTCAGAGTAATGGTTATATTTATATAGAGATGTTAAGCGGCGAAGAAACTATTGGTAGAACTCGGTGCTTACAAGACGGGCGCACAGTTAGAACTAGCTAAGAAAACAACTGCCACGACAGTACACGCGTCTATACCTGGAGTACTCGCAGGCCCCAGACCCTAATTAACCAGTAACCGCAAAGGATGTGGCTTTTCCAAGAAACGGTATGAGCATGGTCAATGCTTTAACTTCAACAATATTACAGTTCGTTTAACGTAATTATCCATGAAACGTTAAAATAGAATAGTTCTACTCCTTAGTTTCTATATTATTCATATCAATATCAATTATAAAACGTATCATTGATATTTCATTAGGAAGCGAGGAATATATCTAGCGGAATTTTCGAGTGCAAAGGGTTAATCCCTTCGAAGTCCAGAAGCTGGTAACCTTGCAAAAGGGAAACGAGCAAGGAGAAACAATCCGAAGAAAGAAGACAGTCAGTCTTTTGAACAAAACAACGCCTACACACGACACTCTGTCTAATTCTGTATAAGTTTGCGTGAAATAAAGTGAAGTAAATCAATTCTGTCGAGTTTCCTCCCTCGAAACGCTCTTTCCAGAGTCATCTCGATGATAGTTCGTAGGATTCACAGTTCCGCTTTTCCGGATCCCGATCATTACGGCCGGATAGCAGATTCGAGTGGAAGATACGCGATTCCGGTACCGATATACAAAGTAGCAGAGCCGGGAACGGGTTTGCTGGCCCGCGATCGGGAGACCCGAGAGTTCTGAGTCTACTTTACGCGCGAAACACGGAGTAACGACAATCATGCGCACCTAACAAGGTAGCTGCGCTGCTAAATACCGAGCTACGCCGTTGCACGAAGCGAGAGATTCATATTGAGCGAAAGGGTTGCATTCCGAAGCTAACAAACCTATAAAGAGAGTCGCGTCGTTGTAACTGTGACACTTCCTCGATACGACCGTGTTTGGATGTTCACTAGAAAATCATTGGCGGTGCAACAACATTGCGAACTAGTATGGAAATCCTGGTAGATTGTTGAGAAGTGGCATAATCGGAATGCTGGTCTAATTGAACGGCTTTCAACTTCTCTCGGTTGGTTTTCGACGCTAATCTGCTATTCGCTGATACGGTTGCACAAGATGGCCAATTGAAATTTCAAATAATAGCACGTCCCGATCAATGAAAACTCTGCACCGGCCGATCCGACGAGGGGCTAGTTTTTTATCCGTGTCACGACGATTCCAATACTCCCACGGAATTTTAATACCGCATTACCGACGATCGAGCCCCTCGACGCTATTAAGAAGCCGATAACTCGATGCCGCTAATCACCCGATAACTCGACGTTACCGGTGGCTCGGTAACTCGATTTTCCTAACAGCCTAATCGCGAGGCCTCGGCAGCCTTAGACCCGATGCGCACTATCGGTCAGGCCTCGCTTCGATCAAATGCTC